GTATCTAAGGGGATGCACAACACATGACTGGCGGTGGAAACAAGACTATACTTTTCAAGACGTCACCCGCTTGGCATTCCTGATCTATCAGTCCTCTGGACGCACGTCGATTGTTGCTGAATGAAGCTTCCGATTCCGGCATCTCCTTCAACATGGTTTTGGGTCCTCCGTTTCTCAACGTATGACAAGCTGTTCTACAACTATAATTTTGACAAATGTCATGTCAAAGTGAACGACCTTGGCAATGTCCTTGTAATACCTTCAGAATGTCAAGGTGCATGTAGCTGTGAAGCAAGCCTCGTGCCCGAGGGGAAGCCTAACCCAAAGTTTGGAGCCCCAGTCAAGTTTGCAATTGTTTTTCACAACCAAAAAATTTTTTCCCTGCGGTGTCGTTCGAGCGCGTCTATTCAAAGTGTTCTTTCTGTGCAGCATCGCGAGAGTTCGCACTCAACCCAGTGTTCCGAGCAGCATAGTGGAGAGCTTCGAGCACTGCTTCAAAAGAGCTTTCTGGGATAAGCAAGCGCTCCCGCAAACAATGCATTTCACAGCTGTGCCTCTGACAGCGCTGAACACAACTTGGAAGACTGAATGTAATGCATGCTCCAGAGCGGTTCCAACTGTTAACGCACAAAGGGTGCTACGTGGACCGCCTGAGAGTGACAACCTCCGCATGGTTCTGTGCCCCATTCTTTGCCAGGGTTCCTTCACTTGCTCGAAAATGATTGATCAGTGAGCCAAATCATAAAAACATGGTGCACAGGCTTCCACGGCGATGAACCAGAAGCTATTAAATAATCCAATTCTTTCACTTTTTTTTTAAAGTTTTGTTGAAAAAATGTTTTTTTTTTTTTCAAGTGTTTTTCAAACACTTGAAGAGCTTATTTCAAAACACAGTATACGAAATGGTATCTTATAAAAGGATAAAACGGAAACTGAATGGTAACAAATACCACTTCTGGCATGCTCAGTGACTGCCTGATGACGTGGCGGACATGTGCGAGGTGCAGAAGTGCACGATGTGCACACTCCTCGTGTGGCTTTGATTACTTCATGAGAGGTACAAAGGTATGCTGAAACAATCTTAATGCCAGTGCACATGCAAGTTGTCCCGTAGCCTGTTACGCCATACCACAGCAATGACACCACATGTGCCCAATCAATGCTGAATTTTGCCTAAAACTTGTACGGAAACGGTCCCATTTGTAGTCTTACCTACCTAGCAAAACGCTGGCAGATATTCAAGTACTACCAGGAACCTGCCAAAGACAATGCAGCAATACTTGCACTTCCCCGTACGCTGCCCGATTAACGATATTGAAACAATGTGCGCCTTTCCACTAGACCACTGATTAACAATGACAAAAGATAGCTGCAGACGGCAGATATGCATACGACGTCAACGAGATGAGGGTAACGGCATCCAGATGCATACTTTGAGAGGTGCAGGGCGCCAATAACACTGAGAATGCTGGTCTAGACTGTGCCACAACCGCACTAGAAGTTGTTGGTCCCCAATGGCTTAAGGCTGACAGAGCACTTGTTTGAACATTCACTCTCCAGTGATGCTCAATTCCACTCTAAGGGCAAGTGATGCCGAACTATCATAGAAGGTCCTTGTGTCAGAAAAGTTATAGCTAAAAGTCCCCATGAATGAATGTAGAGCTGTCGCTGCATTGTCAGTTGGTTAGAAGGAAGGTGGAGGTTTGATTTTTATTTATAAATTGTACTGAGTAAATTAAGGCCCCTTCACTCTCGTTGAGCTTAGTTTGGGATCTGTGCCACTGAATTGCGACACAAGAGTAATTTTTGGTTCACTTTGACGTGGCTTCAAAGAGCACGGATCTAGGACAGCTTGAGCCCCATTATTCCTGGCGTAAACAATGCTTTCCTAAGTTTAACACCCGGCAAAAGATTCCATTCCTGAATCGTTTTGAGGAACACAGTTTTCTGAAATAATATTTATCCCACCCCCGCCCCACCATCCAAGGCAAATGTCACATATCCATAAAAGCCAGTTGAAATGTATTCGGGCAAGCCCTCCTAGAAAGTTTGGCAGCGTTACAACGAACAATTTGGCCACCATGCCTAGATAAAAACCGACTCTGACTCCCCCCCCCCCGCAGGGATTTGGCATTCATACCCCCCTAATCTGGTCACTTAGCAGAACAAGTACCCCCCTTAAGACACAGATAAACAAGGACTGAATCCCAAGTGATACGGACAGAGATTAAAAGAAATCAATATCTGTACCTCTACAAAAACCGCAAGTTCGTTCAAAAAAAAAAAAAAGCGTTTTATTATTTTGTTTGTTAAGTGCGCCTACTACATTCATAGAACGGGGAGGGCAGGGCCAGAAGATGGCACGCTATTTTTAAAACACCACCCCGTTAAGTAAAAATGACAAAAAGAAAAACAACAACAAAAAAGAAGTGAGGTAATAGGAATAATAAAAAGAGTGCAGTGGTGAGCAAAGGGAACACCTTGGCCAAAGCTACCGTGACCTCAAATATCTGACCGTCCTTGACTGTCCGCGCAACAACACGCGGTTCCGCTGACAGGGGATTAGGGCTGATCCTAATCCGTACGCACATTTTAAGGAGGGTCGCGTCGTGTTTATTGAGAGGCAACCACGTCGACCTCCGTTAATCTCTACCCAAATCTGAGCTCGTTGACACGACTGGCGCGCGATTCTACAAACCAAACAAATTCCTGCGCGAATCCGATGGTTAATTTTTTTTTCCCTCTCGCTTTTAAAATGATAAACAATCGCAACTTTTTTTCCCCCGATATTGATAACACAATGTAGCCGATCGAATGCTCCAAAAAGAATAATCAATGAAACCGCCGATCAATACGGAGGACTAGGAAGAAAAAAAAAATGGCCCACTTTACAAATTTCATTCAAGACAAACGGCCGCTCTATCCATCAACTTCGGATGCACGCTTCCCCAAGACAAGGGCGCGCTCGCCTTCCGAAGACAGATTGAACAAAAAGAAAACAAGCAAGCACGTAAAACTCAAATGACCTGATCTAACGATTTACGTTTGCTATTCACCAATATGTATCTAAAAAAAAAAAATCATAATAAAGGCGATAGAAGTCGATTTGAGGCCATGCAGACTTGGAATCCAACATAGGTTCAGTTTGCTCTCAGTATCTGATAGCGGGCTATATTTTTATCACGAGGATGACGTCCTGTAAGGCACCACGGGCAACAAAATACCACAAGTACAAAATACGACATCTTTACCTTTTCGACGCTCATCGCAGAAACTGAAACATCTAAGCTATCGTCGTCTGCTAAGCTGCGATTCGGTCGACCACGAAACACCCTCGGCGACGGTTATTTTTCCAGCGTCTCGGAGGTACCACCTCATATTTTCTTCCTTTCTCGGCAAAAATATCACCCAGCCGTCTAGGTGTAACCCCGCACGCCGCCGATAAGGAAGTTCTGCGCCCTACCTACCCGCGATGTGCTTAACCTTTTCTCATTTATTATTTGCTTCGCTAGTCCTCTCCTCTTCGGCGGAGGTGCACGTACGAGCGGAGATTATATTATTAAAGCACGCCAGTGTGGGACGCCTGGCCTTTTACGAACACCACACACACCTTCTTTCGGCGAGAACCTACGCAGGCAGGCCTCCTCAAAAGAATTCGACGCCGAAAAGTACATACACACACAGTAAAAAGAGAGCACAAAAAAAAAAAAAAGAGTAAAGCTATACGCACTCCGGAGTGCGCTTCGCGCGGAAATGGCTATACGCACTCCTCCGAGAGATCATGCCGCTCGGGCTACCCTTTTCGAACGGCGCGTGAATCACTGGGGCGCTCGTTAACACAGCCCCCCGCCTGCGTTCACGCCGCTTCGCGGCGACAGTATCGGCTGCTAATTACAAAGCGTAACCAGTACACGCCGCTTCGCGGCGTCCAGCCGGCAATCCAAGCCCCGCTGTCCCCGATCGCACCTCCGGAAAGGGAGTCCGATACCATTTAGTTCTGCGAAGTTTCTCGACAACATACGATTTTTTTCTTTTTACTGTTCACCGCAAAAAAGGAAATGTCGTAAATATCGCCAAATGCCTCGACAAAACAAAATGTTTGACAAAAAAAAAAAAAAAGTAGGCCCACCGCGGATCGAACCCGCGTCCACTTGCGTATGAATCGGACACCCTAACCCCTATGCCATCGCACCGCTTAGGAAACTCGTTGTGTCCACTCTTTTTATACGAGAAAAGTGGAGTGCGTATAGCCATTTCCGTCCGAAGCGCACTCCGGAGTGCGTATAGCTTTACTCAAAAAAAAAAGTGGAGAGGACTCTCTAGCGCGGAATGAACCGGCGTATTAAAAACACACACACAAATGATTTAACCTGCGCCGAGCGCAGTGAACACGCACTGAACGAAATGTGATGATAGGTTCTACTAATAACTCGCACGCTACTTTTTACTCTCGCATTTTTCCCCCCATAACTCCCGTGCCCATGGGGTGGGAATCAATGTATTGATTACTAGCTTGCTTCCTACTACGACGGACAGCTAGCGCTCCCCTCAACCCTCCCACCCCAGATAAGCCGGTGCTTCCCTTTTCCTTTTTTTTGGGGTCCTCTCTGAAGAGACAGAGAACGGGGGAGAAAAATGAAACGCTTCACCGCTGTCGCTTCGAAGCCTCGATACGACGAAGGTAACGGTACGCCAGGAAAAAAAAAAAAAAAAAGAAAAAGGACGAAGAATCGTATTGTTTCCGATGCAAACACGGGGGCCTGGCTAGCCGTGACGGAGTCCCTACCCGGAGTACCGCTACGGTGGCTCGCGTTTTCGCCGACGAGGATCGGGCCCGGGTTTTTATACGCAGAATACCACGGAACACATGGTGTTGTTTTGGGGAGAGGTGGCCACATACACACACGGACGACCAACAAGCAAAAACGACGCGGAACCTAGAACGACGACAACAACAACAACACGGGGGAAAATAATAACAATAAAGAACGCCCGCGCACCTTTTAACAGCGGCAAGGGTTGGAGCTCGACATCGTTGGCCGACCGATACCTCGACGATCCTTGAGACTTGCGCTGTTTTCGCTTGAGGGACCCCTTCTTGAAAGGGTCGATCTTGTCGACGAACGTGGCCGAAGACGAGACTGGATGGGACCCCGAGTGTGCAGACATGGTACGGTGGGTACGACGAGTCGCGTAGCACGGTCGGTCGTCGTCTCCGAAGCGGGCGTCGGGGAGGGTGGTACCGGGCGATGCGCCTCTAGCGCTCGCTTCCTGCCGTCGCGAGCTCGTCTAAAACACGGCCTCGGCTCGCAGAGTGGCCGCCGCCGCGCACTTGGGTATCGGTCCTAGGCCCATACCGGCCCCGGGGAAGGCGCAAGTTGCCGACGATTTGCAAACAGGACGACGGTTAGGCCTAAGCGACGCCAATAATTCCGATCATCTCCCGACTCCTAGGCCTAGCATTGCAGGCTCACATACGTCCATACGTGAATATCCGTGCTTTTTTCCTGAAGCCGCGTCGACGGGGAGCTCACGGGCACATTTTACATGACGGACGGCGATCTTCGGAGCCCGCCCGGCGTCTCCGTTCGCATGCGGGGATCAGAGTTTGGGAATAAAAACCCCCCCGCCGATCACATATACACTTTTGCAAGCAAGCAGACACCTAAGGTTTTACATAGACGCATTCGGCAAAGTTCGGCGAGGCCTCGGGTGCCGAGCCGGGCGAAAGCCTACGATTTGCACTCAACCTTCGAAGAGAGTTATTTTCATTCCTACCGCCATGAGCGCTAGTGAATTTCTAAGAATATTACGTTTGTTTTGTGAAATGAACGAGCACAATTTAATAAATGTGTAATTATTTTGATGTTATTTTTATTATTTGTTTTTATATGCTAATATATACAATATTGCCATAAATATATTCAGATAATTTTTGTTGTGCATGTTGCTTTTCTTGCATACTTTGTTCACCGGTACTAGGATTCCAGTTAAATAAATATCCAATTCATTATTTAACACAAATTAAAGTAAAAATTATTGTTTAATTAATTCCAGCGAAGAGCATTGCTGCATACACCCTGGTTACCATGGTTATTCCTACAACCATGGCTGCGTCCGCTTCGGATTTCACCAAGGTTGCACCGATTTCAGGTTGAGGACGTTGTGATCATCCGCTGCGAAGAAGACAAAATTTAAAACCCCAAACTTGGAGGCATATAATAATGAAAAATGCTCCCAAATACGGTCCGTATTCAAACATGTCTGTCAGAGAACGTACGGAAAATGCTATGCGAAGTTTGTGTGACTGACGCTACGTTGTCAGACGCCGCGTTCACCGCGTTCTTGTCGGACAAGCTCACTTTGGATTCTGATAAATTGAGGTCTCTTCTGGAAAGCTGTGGAGGTAAGCTGCTGATTTCAGGCGATCTGTTCATAAACGTTTTCCGCAAGTTTCGTCTAAACTCCCGTCTCTTCCCTAGATCGGGATGCGTCTTCCGACTGGCACGAGGTATCTCTATCCAAGTTGTCGCCGGTCATCCATTCTGTGTGTCGGGTGTTTCGCAGCCTGCCCGTAGAAACATTCCGGAGTTCGTCGGCACTTCTCACTTGGACGGGAGAAGAGAAGGTGATACAATTGACATTTTGTCTGCATAATATTCCGGTCGATAAAGGCGGGGCAAAATCAACATTGCACTCCGTTTATCCGATGGTGCCAATCAAACCGCGGCAAAAATGCGTCGTCACGGCCCTTGTGCGTTGCCGTGATCCTGCGCTTTTTTCTCTGCGTGATTGGTTTAGTCCGTGATGCAAACATGGGTCCGGACATTTCACCGAACGCCGTTTCATCGAATATCGTTTCATCGAAGCCGTTTCATCGTACGCGATTTTGTCAAAAGCCACTTCATCGAATGCCCTTTCATCACAGACGTTTTATCGAAGACCACCTAGTTGAGCAGTAGGAACTTTTACCTAGGAAATAGTTTTAACACTGGAAGGATAGCAGACCTTTCTGTTCCTACAACTAACAATAAGAAACATTATTTTCTCTACACTTTTTTTTTTTTTTTTTTCATAGTAACTGAACTGATGTCTTGTGCTGCTAATGTGGCCAATATTAAACGGGAACACAGCCTTGAAATTTTACTAAACCTGCGATCGTCGGGTGCAGTGACTAAGGTATGTTCCTTCAAGGCTCTATCCACGTCCTTGAAGAGGCGTATTCTGTTCCAAGCACAAAGCCGTCCTTGAAGCAATGATGTATATCCGTGTCGCACGAAGCAGAAAAAAAAAAATGTGTCTCCTCCCCTTTGTTTACTCTTTGCCATCGCCAGAACCGTGGACTTACTGGCTTTTCAACCTTTGTACTTAGAAAGAAAGCTATTCTGCTAGGATAGAACGAAAACTCGAATAAATAGATAAATAAAAAATAAAAAAGGCGCAGAGAAGAACAATTATAATCCTTCCCGGATGTACCTTTCGTGCGTAAACAAGTAGGGAACCAAGTGTGTGGTGGAGTACATCCGCAATTGTTTTACCCAAAAACAGTAAGTCACATATCCACTCGAGTTTTGTCACGTTCTACGATTCAGTAACCGAAAGTTTTCCGAAAAACCATATGAGGGTAGTGATTTTATTACCGGTGATTCAACAGCAGCATGAAAACAACTCAGAAGCGAGAGTATAAATAATCTGAAAAGAACCATGATGCTCCAAAATTTGGTGAACTGAAATTCGATGAAGCAACAACCAAGCAATTCAATGAAAAAGCGTTTGATGTATCAGCGTTCAATGGAAGGGCCACTTATTCGATGAGACGACGTTCAATGAAACAACATTCAATGAACCGGCGTTCAATGGAAGGTTCACTTATTCAATGAAACGGTGTTCGATGAAATGTCCGGCGCCAACTCAACAACCGGGCCCAAACCCGATACCGAGCATCCTACGCATTGACTGGACGCGAGTCCTGACCGAACACTGATGCAGCACTTTCCTCCAATCTGTGTCTGCACTTGGATTGCAATGTGGTGACGTAAGCTTCGGTTATTTCAGACGGTGTCTAGATGTGTTGAGCAGACGTCATTTGTAGACATTGTCTGAAACGGAAATGCCCCTTTCCCACAACAAACTGTGATCACGCAATTAAACTGCATGATTCAGCTTTATCTTTTTAAGTGTTCTTGGGCTTTTGTTGTCTTTATAGCTTAGGGGAGGGAGATTTAATAAACTGGTTTCATGAGTCATTCAAAGCACAGTAAACAGAAGCTAGTCGTTAATTTTTTTTTGCATTGTGGGCATTTTGAGTGAAACAGCACTTTTCATAACAAGTATTTTCCTTGTTTGTTTGGTTTTTATCCGGAAGCTGGTTTTGCAGAATTGAGTTTGTAACGTTAGCCTCCGGCACAAGATCTCCAGAACGTTGCGTCCACGATTCGCACTGTTCACACGAGCGTATACATTCCAGGCTTTTGAGGAATGCTTGTGTCGACTGCAATCCCCGGACGAATGCAGCGCCGTTCTGTGTGTCCTGAAGGTCACGGCGATCCTTGAGCGTTGCCTCGGAGACGTAAGTTGTTTGTTTGTTGTAAACGGTACTTGTAGCTTTGGCCTCTAGTCGGGGGGAAGAGTGGGCAGAGTGCAGTCTCAATCGCCTCTTTTCATTTCTCAGGTGTTGTTCTCGAGGCACGTTCCAGTCCCCTTCCTTCTCAAGGATATCTTAAAGCAACCGGAGCTCAGCGCAGTATTTGGAACTGAGCTGGTAGGTAAGATAGTCTGTATGATAAAAACACAGCAAAATAATTTTGATGCTTTTTACTAAACACCCGACACATTCAGTGAAATGGCAAGTTTAAATATTGTCGCCCCAGCAATATAAAACGGGGATCCTCAAACATTGCGACCTCGAGAAACCCCCATGTCCTCTATGATTGGCCGAAGTACCTCTTACGGTCTCGGTATTTACGCGGTGAAATGGTAAACATGTCTTTGGATCACGTAAACAATAACGCGCATGCTAGGGAGTGTAGGGTTCCTAGCTGCGCATCAGTGGCTGTCTCAGGCCCGCTAAATAGTACTTAGACTGGGAGAATACTTTACTTAGGGGTAGGGATGGACGAGGAAATTTGGGAGGTTTGGAACCCCGTGAGGGTACTCTGGGGAATAACATAAAGTAATTATTACCACAGTTGGAACGTTGGTAAAAACAGACTTTAATCTGCCACCTCCTTGAAGTCGGAGCAGTCGTTCAGAGAGCGAATAAATTCTCATTCGCTCGATACGTCGACACTGACCTTCGCCGACACTGACCTGGAAGGCAAAACATAAACGCGCCCGAGAGGCAAATGATATTTGCCTCCTGGGCATGCGGGATGCCAGCACAAACTAAGCTTTCTGCGTGGTCTGTGCCGGCTTTTTCTTTATTGCGCACCACAGACGATAGCCAGGGCAAGACAGAGCGCATTGCACTGGCGCTACCTCATGTGGCCCTTGCGGGATGTGCAACAACAATGAGGGGGGCAGTTGGAAGGTATGACGTTGCACCCCTCTCGCCGGCATGTTTTGTCGAGAGGCCAATCCTTTGGAGCAGCCGTGCTACGCAGCTCAGTAGCTATAGTTTACGACTGCCGCTCCACTGACCCAGGTTTGAATTCTGCTGTACACATAAATATAATATATAGCCTTAACGTCGCATAATGCTCCCAGCATGTTGCTCGTTTTCAGCGTTCGTTCCTGACGCTCATTCACGACTCGTGAAATGACTCATAAAAATGCATGCCGCGTTAAAACGAGAATGGAATTGGGCCTTTCCGATCCGCAAGTGTGTTTTGTTTTTCTGGTACAGATGTGGCCAAAAATAGACTCCTGGGGGGCTATGCAAGAGGGCAGGACGAAAAGATTGGGATATTGCCATTTGCTGGGATTGGTCAGTGGCATGGCACTGACCAGTCACAGCGGGCAGCGATGTCACGGTTGCTTCGTCCCACCCTCTCGCATAGCCCCTCTGGAAGCCTCAGACCCGCTGCCACTCTGGGACTTTCAGTAGACTCCTTTTCGCAGTACATTTCTGCCGACTTCCGACCACCCCCACGTTTTCTCGGCGCAGATGCTGGTTCTGCAAATCGTCATGGGCTCGCCCCGTTCCCTCAACCTCCGCAACATCGTCTGGCACGGCTTTGTGACCCCTCGAGAGGTGGACCGCAGGTTTGTGAACGGGCGTCGTGTGTCCTGCGGAACGGCAAACGCCAGAGCCGCCGAGCGTTTCCACGGTTAGGGTGAAATACACGTAGCTGCTGTACCCTGTTTCACCTTAAAGCTGCGGTCACACTGCTAATACGAGGCGTGCTTCTTCTCTGTACGATGGTACTGTCCGATTGGTCATACAAAAGCTGCTTGCAGACACGTTTGCAGCATACCGTAATATCTTGGAAGATGGCCCACCTAAAATCAAAAGCAAATAGAACGAAAATGAGGAGCAAGTTAACTTTCGGTGTGCGATAAAAAAAAAAGGAGTTGAGGAGTGCTAGTTTAGATACCGTGACCTGCAAAACTTGCGATCGCAGGGAAGAAGAGAGACAAACCAAATTCAACTTTTCATTCCCAGTTGGCAATGTTCGCTTATGTCCCGCCGCGGCCATGCGACACCCTTTCTGCCGAGGTCACTGTCGGCCGGGGCCCTGCAATTGCTAGACGCAGACCATCTTTCGGTGTTGTAAAAAAAAACAATAACGGCTAATCGTGCCAAAAATGTGGGTGGGTTGTCTTTCGGGAGTGGGGCATCTCTCGGGATATTACGGTACATATATATGTGTAAAGCAAACATGCTTAGCACATGTGTGAGACGTGTCTTCAGGTAATTCTGTCATCACGTGTGCAGAGAACACCGTGTCTTTTGTACGATGCACTAGCACCGTGACTGCTTGTGAAGATGTACAATGAGATGGCACGCTGGTGCCGTGTAGTTGGGTAGCTCTGGAACATATCCGATCCGCATGTATTTTACGCATCATTCTTTCACTGTGGGGTCGAAGTAATTTTCATAACTTGATAAGAGGCCGTTTCTCGTAAATGGTGCACAGATGTATCATCTCGCAAATACTGCAAAACCTTCAACTCATTTTGGCAGATTGGAAGGGTTCTGGGGCTCTCTGATACAGTCAAACCTGTTTATAACAAACAAAAGGAAACGCTGCGATCAGTTCGATATAGCAAAAGCCATTTACAACGAACTTCCACCATCTGTTTGTGATAAGGCGAGAGCTTCTCTTTCTTTCTCATCTCTGCGCTTCCGCCTTGTAGTAAGAATTTTCGTTCTTTCCTACTTTTCTTTTAGGGGGGAAGGGACAGGCTAGAAGACGATTGTTTGCATGTTTTTGAAAGCCTTCCCGGGGGAAAAAAGTTTGATATAGCCCATACGTTCTTCGTTATAAAAAGTACTTTTTACATGCATTTTTATTTAAATTTTTCGTGAGTTCGGTGGTATCAACAATAATTCGCTGTATGTGGGTCCGTTCTAAACGGGTTTCGCTGTAGGTGGCGTCGTGTTGACCAGTTTGTTCTCTATGCTCGGAGGCAACTTTTTCTGGCATTTCAACAGGAATGAAGACCGTGGGTGTAGAGCCTTGATTGGCGCTCGAGGTGCGCAAGTGCATGGGCACCCCTAGCTCTGGCTTCCAAAAAAGCTGTCCCCAAGTAGAGAGTTTTCTCATCGTAAGCCGTCGCAGGCGGTCGCGGCACAGTAGGTCACTGTTAAACATGAGCGAGTGAACCAGCCTTTATGATGTTACTGCAACGGACATTACAAACCCTATTAACCAGTATAGTTTGTAATGTCACGTGCGTTGCACGTGACACTTTGCTCTGCCCAGCCTGAAGGTTACGTGCCACACTTTGAGTTGCGGATAGGCTCCGGTGACTCGTAGCATATGTTGCGGCTCGTTGGAAGGTGAAACAGAGTTGGTCGCCTACGGTCCTGTTGGGAAGAGGGAGCGAGCGTGCACCGCATTCCCAAGGCTGCGCTTTTCATGAAGCAACCACGAGAACTGTCTTGAGCAACGCCAATCAAGACATTTTCCAATCTACCCTTTTTGCGAAATGCGTAGTGCACACACCTGTCGATGCTCCTGGGTTGGAGATTGCGTGCTACCAAAGCAAATCCGCCATCTTGTATGTCGTGCACAAGCCTCGTTTACCTATAGTCGGTGACGGGGTTAGAGTCCAAGGGAAGCTCCTCTTACCTCTGTTCACTTTAACAGAGCGAATGCTGAAGACTGGGCTGCCTTCTCTCTAGTGTTTGCTCTGCTAAAATGGAATGAGGTGGAAGGAGCTCCCCCTGAATTCTTAGCCCGTCATCGACTAAATACCGGGCAAGCGCCTGCTCAAAATATAGAGATAATCGCGAAAAAATGGGGGATGGGCACTTGTTGGGTCATCAGTCTTACATATCAATGTACTGTGCATATTTTCTCAGATCTTACCAATTTGGGAATGGGCGGATGCATGGTATTCTACGGTAGTACTTTTTGCGGGGAATAGCTTTTTTTGTTTTGCGTGGGCCAACTTGTTTTAAACCATGCCGTAGGCCCCATCGAATGTTAATGCGAGGTGACACATGCAAGTATGTTGACGAAAAGAAGAGAAAAAAGACACTTTTGACCGCATGGAAGGAACTAAGCAACAACAAGCATGGCATCGTCAAGTTATGAGCCCATCTGTTTGTCATTTTTGTTATGTCATTAAGTAGTGTTTCTCTGTACGGTGTCGGCTATCATCTTCTATAGTAACAGTGTTTTTCTTGCGAGGCGAGCGGCATATATTCGTACCGCAGCAACATAGGGTTTGTTTGGAAGTCTACCAAGGTCCTGGGAGGGGTTCACACAGTTTGGGGGATGACAACTCAGGGGTCTGCTTCAAAAGTGAACCAGATTTGCTCATCCTGTAGATTTGTGACTAGAAGTCCTTGAAATGCTACGAATGTACCCAAATACCATCGTCAAATAGCTTTGTTTTCTAGTGACTCAATCTCCAACCCGGGCGTCCCGGCAAGCTGCGGCACATATTTAGAAAAAAGTCCATTGGGAGGAGGTCTTGAGAGATTAGGGTATTTTTTCTGAAATTTTGAGATGTGCTATCTTTTGAAAATAATGTTTCTTGGGGAAAATACTATAAAAGCCAGAGCAACCTTTCTATCTTTTTTTGATACAAATATCAGAAAGTATGTCACTCTGATGTGGCAGTCATTGTGGAGAGCTCTTCTACAGTGGCAACTGCAAGTATTACAAATTTGAAATTTTTTTTCTTCTTACAATCGATGAATGGTACAGCTTTCTGGGGGCCGTCACAAAAGGCAGGGATATGTCTGACAAGGTGACAGTCCTCCCCCCCCCCCCCCCCTCCCTTCCCGCTTTTCTGGGGCCACACGTGAAGCCAGAGCACTTCCCCAAAAAGTACAAGATCGAGCTTGTGCCTTTTCTGGAATGGCAACTGAGCTGTTCTTTGACTGGTATTCAGATTTTGACTGTGTTGTCGCAGCAGTGTTCATCTTCAGGCATTCTTAGAATGCATCACCAGCATTAGTGCTAATTTTGCTGGGTTGTTTCATCGATTCCTTACGCCATTAAGCCATTTCATGACGTGCACCATTATTAGAGCTCTGGGAAAATGTTGCCCAAAACTCAGAATGAATATATTTTTTGTCCTATGACTCTACAACTTCCTCACCAAGTGTAACTTCCCCACTAAGTGGCAGTGTGCAGTGGGAAAGGTGTCTCTTCAGGGCAGAAAGATGGAAAAGCATGCGAGCTGTATGAAATCACGGTGTGTCTTCGTCCGTGGGCATATGGTTGTGGCTAACACAGGGGTGCACACTTAATACAGTGCCAAGCAGACATTTGTGGCAGTTTCTTTATAAATAGCCTACTGTGCAACACCAACGTGTCAATCTTTAATGTTGGCGAGTTTCTTCACTCCTCAGTGAACAGAAACTCTCTAATGTGAGCACCGAGCAAAGTGGTACAAGTTTACATGTGTGATATAAGAAGTGAAAAATGAGGCATCAAATATCGGTATGAATGCATTACAAGAACCGATTAATATTTACTGTCTACACAGCGTGACACGATCAGCACAAACAAACAAACACCATTTTTTATTGTTTTTGTCCTCGCAGATAATGACTCTAATCAAAATTACCCCTCTTGTGGATAGTGGTCATCTGGTGAGCCAACTTGGGAGGTAGAACCTTGAGTTTTCCACTAACCCGTCTGGAGAAAACATAAGAATGTGCGCACACTGTATCACGCAGTGTGTCGCTTGTGCAAGGTCTTTTGTAAATGAGTAGTATATACCCTGTTTTGTTTTAATCTAAGCAGTACCAACACTACAAGCCAATGGGGACAATCAAGCTTCTTCAAAATCACTAGATTATGGCATTTTTCAGGTTTCTATGCATGTGTTGCTGCCAACCGATCCATTTCTATGCGTCGTGACATTGCGTTTCTAGTCTGTGCATTTATGCTTGTGTTGCAGCTAGGTGTATAGCAAGCCTGTGTCTGTCTAGAGCTTTTTGTTTTTGCTGCTTCAGGCTTCCATTCTTCTTGATCTGTGCTGCCATGAGTTTGGGGGAACGGCTGGCTGAAAGCGGTTCTCAGCACAAGGCCATCGTAAGAAGAAGACGGTTCAGCTTCATTGACACGGAGCTCGCCCTGAACGACTTCCTAGGCAAGTGCCGGCACTCGGGCCTCATCATACGTCTCCGCGGACGTCGTGGCTCCATCCACACGCCTAGGGTCACTGAAAAGCTATACACTAGCAGTACCTACCGGCTCAGCTACAGGCCATCACTACTTACCTACTCTTCTTCCACACCCGTTGTCCGATGCCGCCACGAAGGTTATTCGTCCATTTGCATCATGTGACATCTGTTTACATGTTAGCAACTTGCTTGGGCGGCCTAGAGCCGCCCTGGCACTATTTTTGACAGTTATGGTCCTGAAATGCGACTTTTGGAGTGGGAGATACAACAATAGGAGATTGTCGTGGTAACATTGTGCTCCGTGGTGATCCTTAGCAAGCGGGACGACAGAGAGCAATTGCATCCTTCATCAGGCACGTCGGTGAAAGCTGGAGACAACTGGCAACATTGATTTTCTGAGACAATATGTCCGAGGTGTCATTACTTTGAATTATAGTTTACTTAGTGACTCTATGATTGTTCAGTGTCAATGATGTCGAGTTCCAGAAAGCAAAAAAACAGAATGAAAATGAAAAGACAGAGCACAACGTGCCCTGCGTTTTGTCCCAGTCTCTTTCGACGTCGTTCCGACAACATTTTATGTGGCGTTTTGCATGGTGGGCAAACTGCTAAAAGCAAGAAACCAAAAATTTATTGTTTATGCTTACCTTTTTTTGTGTGTCCAGGAGGGATGATAAAATAGACAATAACAATGATATCTCTCGTTTTATTTTCAATTTCACCTTATATGTGCTTACATGCATTTAGTTCGGTTCCTAACGGGTCTGCACTGAAAATTAATTTTATTCAAAATACCCCTAAAGGCCCTCTGTATAAGGGTGGGCAAGCAAATATATCATAGTACACAGATAAAACACAAAAATTATACAAAGACAATATGAAAACAAGTTAGGCAAAGACGGAGATATACCTGGTGTTTATCGACAAAAACAAAAACTTGAGTGGTAGCGACATTTGTGCCAGAGTGAATTGGAGCAACGACGTACAGAACAAGTGACCAACTTCTTTTTTTCTCCTCTTTGTTTCAGGTGTCGGTTTCGACGAACAGAGTTTCCTGTTGGTCCTTGAGGCGAGTCCGCTCGTTCTGCCAGGAAGGATGCCATTCTGGCACGCGTGCGTCCAGCTGTACAATGAATCCCGGTAAGGTGGCACACGATGGCCATGTACACTGCATGACACTGTTAGTATGAAAACGGCTTTCACGATTTTTTGCATTGCACTTGGAAAGGCTGTTGGCAAGCACCAAACTTTGTCACTTCGGTTAGTGTCTCAAGGGAGCCCATTCCACCACACTAGTAGTTTTGATGATAGCTTTTTGATTCTAAGACAAATACAGAAAAAAACTGGTGATCACTTGTTCACACTGAGTGTCAGGCCGTGTACAGCACTCAGAAAAAAACCTCCCCTAAAGGGCAACTCCGCTAAAGGGCAACTCCGCTAAAGGGCAACTCCGCTTCAGTTATAATTGTTTAAAAAAAAAAAAACAATGCAGTCCTCTTCAGTATCACCTATGCTCCATCTCACCCTACGATGGACTAGGGCCCGAAGGCTGGCAGGCGGAGCACTGCCTCAGGAAAGCTTACATCCGCATTGGGAAAGAGTGCGCGAGAGAAATTCCGACACGCAGACTACGAAGAGCACTAATCTAACGCATATGGTTCTCCATAAAATAGCGCGCTATTTTATATTGGTGAAGTAAAGGTGCATGGAATTGAGTTTCATAAACATTCTTGTCATATTTCGTAAACATGTCAACTGTTTGGAGAAGTCGGAAGGCACGCAGGCAACACTGACATAAAGTCGTTTCGCCTTAAGGCCCGTTCACACTCTTGCGACCTCTTAAACCTGGGTTCCTTAAAACTTCTTAAACCAGAGAACACACTGGCGCCATCTATTGGGAAGCAGTGGAAACTCGGTGGTCCGGCATATTTTTTCTATTTCTCGCGCATTATCCTTTCTTTCTTGGCTCGAGAAACCTGTGTCAATGTCATAAACGAGTCTTTCTATGGGTACTACGCACATTTGACCTCGGAAATCCCGCAAACCTTCGCTCTTGTGAAATGTAGTTCCAGGGTCACCGCATAGATGGCGCCACAATGCCCAGTGTGTTCCCTTACTCTAAAAACATTTAAGAAGTTTTAAGAGATCTCGTCTCTCTCAGTCGTACTCGGTCGCAAGAGTGTGAACGGGCCTTTAGCCATAACAATCCAATCCAATCCAACTTTCGTTTACGTAAAACGTACCCGGGCCTGCATCTCCCTTCCTCACGCGGTCCGTACACGCTCCCGTGTCGAACACTGTATGCAACTCATCTTCATTTTATAATGGGCACTGGTTCTTATTCTGGGTTCTCTTTGCCCGATCGCTTCCAAAGGGTATATAATTCCTTCAGTAGTCTTCAGTAGTAGCAAGCAGATGGAGCCACCGCAAGGGCTTGATAAGCAGACAAAGACTCGCCTCCGCATGCCGCCGTCTTGGTGCACTGATACGTACGATGAAGCAATATACAACATAGTTTCGAACAGGCTCGTGATTAGACTCGGAGGCCTGTAGCATTGGGGTTTAGTCCATCGTAGGATGAGACGGAGTATAGACCAGTGTCCGCGCCAATTCCAGGGCGCCGCCATGTTTATCTACGCTCGCGCCACCACGCGGAGAGAACTGGCAGGCAAGAGGGGGGGCTGCGTTGGCGGCGTTGGTTTGGGGAGCTGGATGCGGCAGGCTGTCCGAATGCACCGGCACATCGTGAACGATGTCTTTACCAGAAGCCTCCGCGACCCGTTCTTCAACAGATAAGAGGTCGTGAACATTCGAGAACCCATCTCGATCAAGGAAACAAGAGAAAACCTTCCTTGTCTTAAATGTTCTCGGTGTCTGCTGACCCTTGACATCCGCGTTTCAGTCTGGGTTCATTGCGTAGTAAATATTTCGCTACCGCTTTCTTGTAGCTTCCAAATGCTTGATTGTTGGTTTCTTGTATACGACATTACATTCGTGGCACGTTTGAGACCGATTTTCGCGATCTGCTTGCCTTTCTGCGGCAGCGCGGCTCTGCCGAGCCGAAATAAGTGGGAGGCGTTCACTTGATCGAACGCCGTTTTAGCGAATGAAAACGAGACCACGACGTTTCATCGAATGACTAGCGAATGGGTCTAGTTACATAGACAGCTCGGATTAGCTTTCTTTTGTAATGTGGCGCCTTGTCTGCCGCTGCGAAGCGGCGTAAACGAGGGCTCCGAGTATGTAAGTGCGCGTCCCGTCCCTCCCCCCCCCCCCCACACACACACACATACAAACACAGACTGCGAGCGTCTGGGTTCGAAACTATTAATTGCCAGTTCTAAAGGATGGTACTTACTTGAAGTGGGAGCTGGAATTCTACGAGGTACCAGGAGACACTTACTATCGGGCAACGAAGCACGGTGGCTGTGGGGGCGGAGTCTAGGAACGCTACTGATTAATATTGTGACAGGCGATCAGTTATGATGGCAGACGAAACTTCGACTCGTTTGTTCAGAATTTCTCGGTGATATTTTATTAGCCCTCGTTACAGCACACCAAGGATCTTGGGCAGTGAAATTCACATCACGCAGGCTCGTCCGTCGTAGTCAAATGAGCGCAGTCGACGATGAGGTGTAATGAGCTACTAAGCTTCACAAGGAAAATGCGCGTGAGAAAGAGTTTTGAGGAAGTCCAAAACACCGATCCAGCAGACGCACGTACGTACGTTTACTCCGGATTTCATGAACTCGACGGCGCAAGATCAAAGAGCACCGCCGCCATCGCCACCCGGTTTTCTCTGCACTTTGCGCGACGACGGCACTGCAACGGAGGGCACTTGCCTCGGCGTTAACAATCCACGAAATAGATTAATTTCCCACTCTTGAAGCCATTCCAAATGATAAATGAAAATACCTCAGCGTTGTTGAACATCTGACGACACAACCAACACAACTGTGCCGCTGGCTGCGTGAGCCTGACACAACTGTGCCGAGCGCCTGCTCGGCACCGTTGTTGCTCGTGAAGGCTTGCTTATTTGTGGTTGAGACGATGATTCCACATCTTTCGTGGTGCTTGCAATAACTTCGAAGGGCAGGGGAACCTTCTCACGAGGACGTTGAAGACACTCAACACCGGAGCCACCAAAGCAATCGCACAAACTGTCGCCATGTTTGCTCCTTCTTCGTCACTCGCGGCGCAATCAACTCGTCGCGAGATGTTTTCTGGCTCGGCTAGATGGAAACCAACAGCGGCAAAGTGGCGTATGGACACACGGCTCTCACATTACGGGCACTATACTCACATACCGCGGTAAACAGGACCGATGCCGGCGAAACGGCAGTCGGCACACCAGCGAAGAAGCCCTCAACGGGAAGCGGCGGCGCAGGCCGACGCAGTCCCCCCTCCCCGTGAGCGTCTGGGTTCGAGATTATTGTTCGCTTTTGCTCCTTGCGGTCGAGGCTACAAAGAGCACTTCCGGACAAAGGTCTATAGGGAGACCACACGTAAAATATTACGACCTAGTTCTGCCAAATTGTTTCTTAAAAGTCCGGCAAACTTGGGAAAGTGCCAAGTTGCCGAAATCGGGCGACTCTAGCAGGCGAATTGAGGCTGAATCAACAGCGCAGTCAGGGCTGCGGTGTTAGCGTAGCCAAGATTGAGCTAAACATCATCTACATTGCTACTTTTTGTTTGTTTTATTCCTCCGGGCAAGCGTAACAGGTGGCGTCAGCAGCGTCTCCTCTCGGCGCTGAGCGATGTCCACGTGAGTGGCCTAAGCCGCCTGCGCAGTGCGCTTCTCAGCCTTGGGAGCCAATTGATTGTCCCGCCATTAGCGTTGTCTTTTGCGTTGGGGCCGCCTTAAACACTACCGCCCCAATGGTGGCCTGCCCTGATGCTGCTCGTCATCGTGTAGAGGCTCACGAGGTTACTCATATCATGTTGTAGCTAGTATGTTTCTGGCGGCCTGAGGCCAATGTTGCCTGACGGAGCCGAAGTTTCGGTTTTGGTTTCTTCTCATGTTTAAAGTAAGGTTTCGCAAAATATATCCTATTTTTCGCAAAGCAAATGACATAGTTCCTTTTATTAGTGCTTTCTGATATGAAATCACACATAATTACGAAATTTTCAGAATTGAGCGGAGTTGTCCTTTAAGCCCGACGCAAGCAACCAACGTTTTGCTAAGAGACTTCACTTCCTCGGGACTTTGTCGGCCATGTACTAGAGGCTGGCACAATTTATTGCACTTCATCAACTCACTGGATCACACTGATTAGTCACTTCACCAAGCGCCTGAGTATGTTCTACAAAGCTTCAACTATAGGCCGTGAACATAAGTTTTTAAAATCCTCAGCAGGCACGATTAGTCGGTCGATGAGCTTAGAATCAAACTCAGCATCGTCCTCATTTTGTGTAACTTTTTTATAGTGTTTGCGTTGCCACAAGAACCAAAGCTGCGTACTGACACGCTGGCAGTCCTACCCACTGCTGTGATGATTTGGAGACAGTTGATATGGGAACGGTTGTATTCCACTGTGTAGTACCGTCATTATTTCTTTCACGACTGGCGGCTGGACGATGTTTTCTCCAGGAATACTTTTGCTGTCGTTTTCTTCGGTGATTTTTCACATTTTACTTTGAAAGGATACTGGCAGGCATCAAGATTTATCACTTAAGCTACCCCAACTGGGCACTTTTCACCACTACCGTAAAATACCGTAGAATACCCACTTCAATTTCACCAAAAACTGGGTTAATCTAGACATGGGTGCTTGTACGGTCAATTCGGGCGCTCGACGTATAATTTTAAGAATTCACAAGTTTGGGAAATGTTAATAGTGGGTGCTTGAACAAAGTGGGTGCTTCCGCTGCATTTTGACGGTATGTGTAGCAGTTTTCGGTGATGGCTCGTTTGCGCTAACACTGTCGCGGAGTTCACATGAGCATCACGAGACAATAGGAACCCACAAATTTTACGTTTGTGTTTAGACAGCGTAAAGTCGGTCTTCCCTTGTGTTATGGCAATGCTGGTTTGTGCCATAAATGAGATATTTAGCCAGTGCAGTACCACTGCTAACCTGAAGTCTCTAACATGCATCATGCAATAGTGACACATGACTGCTTCTCGGTACGACGCTCGTCCAGATCGAAACGGGCGGGGGTGGGAATTGAGTCGAGGATCCGCGGGTTGTGCAGCGCAAGCTTTCGCTCCACGTGCACCAAGCTGCGGTGTGCCATCACACTCAATCATCCGTTCCCTTACAGCACGTGTCGTGCGTCTCTTTAATCGCAGGTACGACGAAAGCCTCGTCTTGGCGCTTCCTCAAGTGGAGTGCGTCCTTCGAGTTCTTTTCACGGCGGCCAATGACTGCCCTCGGCGACTCCTTACAGCCGAGGTTATTCTTTTCTGCTTTCTCCCGGTTTGACCACAGACTGTTGGCATTGGGAAAAACATGATAGAACAGCCAACACCTCTGAAGTTTCAATAGGCACCCCTGGCGAGTAACATCGGATATTTCTAGGTCACGTTTCGATCGGGAGGGGGGGGGGGCGTAAAGATGAAAGCATAATGCAGCAAATCGTAAGCACTTCCACTGGTGGTTCTGAGAGAAAGGGCAAAAAATGAAAGATGTTTACAGGTCTGTAATGCAAAATTTGAGCGCAACTCTTGAGGAGGAGGATGGGAGGGTACAGAAACGAGGGTATGCTTCTCCTCCTCCTCTCCTCTTCCCTTCCTCCTCTTCCGTACCTTCTCTTTTCCTCCTCCATACCCTCTCCTCCTCCATACCCTCCCCTCCTCCCACAGTTTCCCCACTGAATGTAGCTAAAAAATTGATGCCACGTGACCTCAACACCAATTTAGTTTCCCTGCTAAACTTAGCGGGGAAAATGACATCACATGACTTCGTGTCATGTCACCCATCGACAAATTCAGTTTCTCCTCTAGATCTGGCAGCAAAATTGACGTCACGTGACCTCAACACCACTTTAATTTCCCTCTGAATTTAGCGGGGAAACTGAAGTGGTGTTGAGGTCATGTGACATCAGTTTTACCGCTAAATTTAGCGGGAAAACTGAATGCGTAGTGTCACATTATGGGACATCACAGACATACACACCAATTCAGTTTCTTCGCTAAATTTAGCAGAGAATTGAATTTGTGTATTGGTCTGCAATGTTTCATAATGCAAAGCGTGCAGTTATGTTGACGCCGTTATACGCAGAAACAGGCGGGTAAGAGCTGCGCTCTAAAAAGAAAGCGACAGGAAAGTAAAGAAAGAAAGCAGATGATAGGGTAGGCATGTTTGTTTTTGCCACGACAAGTTGAAGTTGTTAGAGTGCTCGTCAACTTTATGTTCGGATTCTGCAAAATTCAGCACTTGCCAAACTTTTGGAGAAAAATACAGCAAAGATTTGGCATACGTCTGTGCGCGTGCACCAACCGCAGTGCCGGCAATATCGGCTGGCGGCAGCTACTGCACGAACGTGACGAAAGGTAACCAGGGACAATGGCAAGGATGTCGGATAACAATGTTTCTGCACGGTTATATATACGCATTCGAAAGCGGCGGTAGGCACAGCTCAATTTTGCAGCAAAGTATACCAAGGTGGTCGTTATCTGTTTTTTGGACAAGAGCTAAATATCATGCAGGCTTCGCACTGTGCAATATACAAGCGGGCAGGGCAGTTATCTTAAATAATAGCGTACTGTCTTAAACAACGCGGGTGGAAACATGATTGCCACATGTGGAACTGGTGAAGTCTACTAAACTTACATATTTACGTTTTCATTACCAGATAAGCTGTTCATGTGCCTAAGAATAACACTCTTTTTTGTGATACTAGGAGAAAGTTGCAGCATTGACTAAGAAGTATGTTCAAAGACCCACCTCACAATTCTAGCGACGTGCCGTTTGCCAAAAATAAAAATTAATGCAAAAAAAAGTTTTTTTTTTATTAGCGTGCATTTTGCATTTTTGGTTTTGATATCGGTTTAAGCACCTTCATATAATTTTAAACACAAAACAAAAGCACTCATTCCTGCACATCCGAAACTTCTATGTGGCACGTTCCTAAACAGTTTACAACCTATCGACGCATGCAAAACTGGCGCAATATTCAAATGCTTGCATACTTCTGGTGGGGGCTCAGTCGGCGGATTTATTGCGACACGCAGAAAACGAAAGTATCCATGTTACCCTGCAGGACCACCGGCCCTAATGCTCACACTTGCAGACTTGCATTGATAAAGTTCAGAAACAAACTAAACCAGCTACACGGGCGTACCGGATGCCACCGCGTACCTGCGCTTACCATGACTGAAGTAACTGTTATTTTGCAAATAAACACGCAGAAATGACACTGATAAACTATTACTTTATAATATCACATTATTTAGCAATTGCCATGCCAATGTTTATTTAATTTGTTCTACTGGGCACTTTTAAATGTTTTTCACTAAAATAATACAAAAATCAGTTAATCATGTTTGACAACCCTACGTCTTTTGCTGAATCTTTGACGGATTTTCGCGAAACTTTGGCAAATATTCGGATGTGTAGAATCCCGAGATTCGGCACCAAATTTCAGATTTTGCAAAAGTTTGGCTCATCACTACTTACAGAAAGTACTAGATTCAGACCTTGCAAGCAATGTTTTCCTGCTTCTTTTATGTATATGAAACCGTCACGAGTAATAAGGTCACATCGGAACCATTGGTGTCTGTGTATATGCTCCGCTGTTCTGAAGCGGCCAGCATGCATGGGACCTTTCCTTCTAGATCAGGGGTTCTCAAATGGGGTTCCACAAAGCCATTTCTGGGGTTCGCCAAGCCTTTGCCTCAACCCTCAACCCCCTGCCCCTTATTTTCTTGAAAATAAAGTTTTTGTTGGCTTTTGCTAGGTGGCGCAAGCTACCGCCCCTTTCCAAAGAGTACAGTCGTTACCGTCTATCCATCCATTCATCCTTTTACTCAATGCTTCTCACCTCTGTCTATAGCAGTAAAAGATGCCCTTTTCACACTGCAATTACTTGTCTTATTATACCCTCCCCCTCCCTCTCCCCTTCCCCCACTGGCATGGGCTTCCCCATCACTTTGGCAGGTCCCCAGGGTGTCCCCAACTCATTTGTGCTTGAGAACCACTGCTCTAGATTATTATAATAGCTCTATGGTTTTGATTGTGCATCACCACGCACGCCCACACTGATACAATTATTTGAAACGAAACAGCGAGAACAAAGAAGGCGGAAAGAAAATCAATACAACGTATTGATGGGATACTGAGAGTCTGTCCTTTCATTCACTCAAATATTTATTTTTCTCCCGGACGGATGGATGGATGGACAAACGCCGACAGACATGTACGATGCGACGCTAGGACGCTGCTTGATATCGGCGCTAAATGGTTGCGTATCGCGGATGCTATACTCTGTTTCACCTTGTGTTGTACCGCAGTAAAGGCTATAAGCGTGAGCTCCTTGCTCTAAAGCACATCTCGGCGGCACAAGCTCTCGTGCACCAAGGGCAGCTGCCAACGCTATGAGCTCGCACGTCTAGCCTTTGCTGCGGTACAACATGAGGTGAAACGGAGTATAGCAGTGGCTGCAGCGTCTTTTTTGTGGTCGGGTCTTGCAGACGCCACAGTGCACCCTGGCTGAAAGAAACTGACCTATTTACTCTGCCTGAATTCGAGGTGGAATCTTGGGGCGAATCTCGGAACTACAGTCTTGCCCCGGAGGGCAACAGCGTAGAACTGCAACATCTCTTGTATTTTCTTGCTTTTGTCTGATCATGCTTTTTTTTTTTTACAGATGTCGACATTGTATACAACATTAGATGAGGTCAGTGCTTTCGTCAAACTCCATAAATTTTCGTGGCCTGTTTCTTAGATGGCGCATGCCTTAAACCAGTGGTTCTCAACCATTGATGTTTCGTGAACCTCTTGTGGATCGGCAGAGATGAGGTAAGAGGAGGATCCGTTCATTGGGAGGGGAAGGGAAAGGTATACGTAAAATTCCGTAAGAACGCCCTCCCAAAATAAAGAGAGAAATGGTGAAAGACATGGGGTGGGCTATCTTTGGGGATGCCACTGCATTATAAAAAATTAATGATAAGCACCGGGGCACCCGCTACAAACCACATGACGCGGGAACTGATACCGCAGATCGCTGACACGGGAAATTCGGGTTTCACGATGCGATAAACACGCTGGTATTCGCTACAAACTCCTGTGTCATGGGAAAGGATACCGCAAGTGGCCGACGCAGCAGATTCGTGTTTCTCGATGCAAAGGACTCTCGGAAACCCGCCGAGAACTCGCATCTCACGGGAACAAATATACCGCAGATAGCAGACGCGGCAGATTCAAGTTTCATGGTGCAATAAAGACGCGGGAACCCGCTACAATCTTGCCTGTCACGGAAACCGATATTGTCACGAATGACAAATGATGAGGTGGCGAATAACTGAAGAAACTAAATGTTTAATGGGGTGAACTTGTGCCCAAAACAAAAAAGAAACAGAAGATAACAATAGAGCGTCGCGGGCGTTGATGGCAGTGTAACAGCAGGACCGAGCACTTGGACGAGACTGACTCCGCTCGCCCTGCAGAGTCCCTTATGTACCCTCGTGGGTTTTTGGATCATTCGGCGTAGAATTTTCTATGCGTAGAACATTCGGAACTCGATCAGACGAGAATGTTCTCGAACTTACGAGAAGGGCAAGTTGAAAAAGTAAATAAAAGTACAGTCCGCTGACTAGAATCGAACTTACACCTTCCACGCGACAGTCAAGCGCGGTAACCACTCGGCCACGCAAGCGCTTACTCGCCAATGCGCGTGGCATTACTCCCCCCTTTAAAAGCGCATTGTCTCGATGCGACGTGCCGGGAAACAAAGCTGCGAAACAAACAAAAATAATGGCAAACTACGTAGACTTGTTCATCGTTTATTCATACCTTTTTTTTTTTATTAAATGGTGATATTGTACACCAGCTTGTCTGAATTTCTACTTCTTTTACGTTTCAGGTGCTTGCCGAGTTTACCGACGATCGCACTTGCAATGCGCTCAGGAAAATTCTAGGAGATTCCCATTTTGTAAGTTTGCTGCCCTAGAAGTTCATCTGGTACAGATGCTTAAAAAATGTTTTGCATTTTACAATGTTCTGGGGACTTTGTTCTTATTATTTCAACTGAGTGCTGTCAAAATTTTGTTCATGCATTGTTGTGTTAAAAATTTCCAAACTATCATTGATGTTGAACATTGTTGAAACATGAATTCATAGATTAATGTTTATTTGTTGGGATGAAGAACTTGGTTTCATGTTCAGAGACTGGAGGCTTCGAAACAAACGCGGGAATGTGAGGTGAAGGATCGCAGTTCCAATGAAAAGTACATTCAGATGTGCCCACTGAGATGCATTGTTACGTTACACATTATTGTAGTGCTTTTTACGTTGAACTTCATGGAAAAAAGAACACCAAATTTAACATATACCAACTGTCGTGGCATAGGACATTTTCCGAGCAAGTCGACAGTAAATGTTTTCATGTTATTTTCAAAACAAAACTAAAACTATTCAAGCACATTTGAAAAGAGAAAAAAAAAGGCAAGTGCGTTTTCGTTGAAGGAATATTTTAACAATTAACAACTTTCAAACATTCCATACCCAATAACCGAAAGAATAAAATATAGTACTATACTTTACCAACACTCCCGTTGGGAATATAACTGCATACCCTCATACGCACACTCCTAGATAGTTTGAGGGGTTTAATCTTTTGCAGGAAATCTATCTGGATCTGTTTGCATACCTTGAAGGTCCCCGGCTGAGGGATCGCATCAGCCACGGCGAAGCGGATTTGTCTTCGATCCGCAAACCTCTCCTGATACATTTGTTCAACGCGGTGGCCGCCACTTGCGCGATTTCGCTTTGCGAGAACCACGAACTTCAGATGGTAAGCAAAACTCGACACCCCATTTGTTTTTGGTTTTTTTTTCTTGTATGGCCTAGAACAAATATTGTGCTAGCTATATTTTAGATGAATGATTTTGGAACATTTTTGTACAGTAGTCCTTGTGCAATCCGTTGCGTTTGTTTGGAAGTGTCAGATATGTATCTTAGGATTGAGAGAAGTTTATGTATCTGTTGGCTTGAAAATTTGAGTGCCTCCGAAAGAAGTCAATGATTTTCAGCACCGAGCCAAACGAAATTTGAATATCATATTTCAGTGATTTATAGCCAATGATAGGTTATTAATACTTTTCAGGCTCTAAACCAATCAGTTTTTGCTAGATTATATTTTGTTACCTCACAGTGCAGCACCCTGGGGTCCTTGAGGTCCGTCGCCGTCTCATATCATTCACATTTTCATCCGATCCAGCTTTTGAGAAAAAAGGTGAGTCTTCTCAAAAGTCTCTTTTTAAAACAAAATGGGTTATAGGTGGGGTTCCTTGTTTCCAGTATTTATTACTGCAATTCAAACTTTCCATATCTCAATATGGAAAGTTCGAATTTTTGAACTTTCCATATTGAGAAATTCGACGGAAGTCGAATTTTCGAACGTATTAAACTAAAAAGTTCGTTGCTTTTCGAATTTTCGAATTTATTACGCTGCAAAATTCGATGCTTGTTGAACTTTCGAACTTGATAGACAAAAAAATTCTATGATTTTCGAACTTCATCTTGCACTAAAAAGTTCGAAGTTTTTTTAACTTTCGAACTTCCTACGCTAAGAAATTCGATAATTTTCGAACTTTCCAACTTATTAATCTAAAGAATTCGAAAATTGTTGAACTCTCGATTCCTGAAAAGTCAAAATTTCGACTAACTTCGAAAGACCGGCGGGCGGTTTCATTTGGATTCAAGCAGTGAGGTACATTCATAATTTTTTTTTTCGCAATTTTACATGGGGTGTTGCATTCCTTGCGAAAGACAATGCCATTTATTTCAATCATCTGGCATGCTTGGTTTTAGAAAAATAGATTCCCGAAGGAGCGAGGAAGGACGACGGGTTTTTGACAATTGTCATTTGTGCCATATATTTGAAGCGCGCTATAGCCGAAGCTATTTATAGTAGAGATGTTAAACTTTTTAAGAATGATCTATATATAGCCTAGGTGAGTGTCGTCTTAAGATTATTGTTGTTCAAAACGAGTTTCGAATAAATATTCAAACATGTACCTACAAACAATTATGCCCTAAACTTGGTAATTTTTTTCGTCTACATTGTTTGGGTATCGCATTTAAATTAACACCAGAGACAGTATCATATCATTACCATTTGCAGAATACAAAATAATGTATTTATTGTTTTTTTCACGTTGAGGAATAAATTAACTCATGGGGAAGATTTCTAAAATTGTTCAAGCTCAGCGCGTCATAAAAAAAAAATATTTTTTTTTCCTCATTTTACGTTTTTGGAACGTGTTTCTTTTGGCCTGTACACATTTTGGTTGGAGAAGTTTGTTTCATAGTTCTGGGCCTCTGAATATGCAAGAATACAACACTTCCGGTGGGTTCTTGGTAGTTTATTTTTTTCTCTCCAGCTTTTTATTTTTGCATCTATTGTTATGTTTATTTATTGATTATTTTTTACCAATGGCACAGTTATTTAGGTCGAAAAGACATAGCTTTGAACTTTTGAGCCACCGAGCATGTGACGAGTAGCTGACAATGAGTTTCTAAAGGCCTGTTCACAGATGCAGCGGAGCGCTAGAAGCGTAGCGCTGACCTCGTGCTAAGCACGTGCCGACGGGAGCGTTCACCAGCTTTGTATCGCACCGTCACAACTGTTGCTCATGGCAGACGATAAGTAACTGACGGCACGTGAGCAGCGTTACATCAGCATTTCGCTGCATGTGAGAACCGGCCTTAACAATGACCATCTACGCAATCTTTTATGCAGTGAAGAGCGACAGTAGCTATACATATGCATAAATAATTTCAGATTAAAATAAGCTCGACCGTGCCCTCTTTCCCCGTATTGTTTTCTTTAACAGTCCGAAATATCTGGGAGGGGGGCGGGGGAGAGACGGAAGCTCCCCCTCCCTCCCCCTCCCTCCCCCCCCCCACCCCCGTTTTTCCTCTTCTGACGCCACTGGTATGGTAGAACTCTCCTCGACCTCAAGTTGCATCAGCTTCTGTGCTTTTTGTTTGACGTTTCTTCAGCGCCAGAAAATAAACCTCCAAAGCAATTACAAACAAAAAAATCGTCAAGGTGCAGACGAGCTGGTGTATGTTGATCATGATGCAAAATCCCGAGACTGGGAATGAAATTCGCAAGAAATAGTGTAAGAAGAAAGAAAAAAGGGGACTGGACAACGTCTCAAACTCAGCTGAGTTGAGTTTGAGATGTCCTGAGCTGAGTTTTCAGCTGAGTTGAGTTTGAGACGTTGTCCTGTCCCCTTTTTTCTGTCTGCTTACACTTTTTCTTTCAAATTTCATTCCCAGTCTCAGGATTTTGCATCAGGTACAAACTAAACTTACTATATGCCAGTGTCACTCGGGCGGCGTTCGATCGGATTACTACCAGCATGCAAGGGGGTAGGGGGGCAGTTTGCCAGATCACTTCAAGGTTTTTCTGAACCTCAACCACCTGCCTGCCCCTGGCCGTTTTGAACTGGGTGAGTATCGTTAAACAGTGCGTTCGTAGGATCACTACTTCGTAATGCACGTTAATGAGCACCCCGGGCTGGCAGTCACAATTACTGATCTATTGTTACACGTCACTGCACTGGCAAATATTCCAGCACATCCGGGGCACTCGTCGTCCTGACCAACTTCGCGCAGTCTAAATATCACACCCAAACTTTTCTAAACCTGATTTCGTGAAAACCAGTGAGGCGTGAAAACATTATTTGAAACTGAAACTGTGGCGGAACATGAAAACCGGACTTCGAACTTTGCGCACTTGGACTTCAAATAAATTGGAAACCTTCAAAGTTTCTTTTTTTTTTTCGAATTTAGCATTAAAAGAGAATCGAACCTTCGAACTTTATGTAGAAAGAAATTCAAAATCTTTGAATTGATCAAACTGTATGTCTTTAAAAATCGAAACGTTCAAATTTTTTGAATTTTAGATCCAAAGAAATTTGAAACATTCAAATCTCTCGAATTTCAAATTAGGGAAGTTCAAAATCTTCGAATTTATCGAACCTCAAGTAAACAAATATTCGAAATAATCGAACCCAAACTTTTAGAAACCGTGAAAGCTTCGAACTTTTCGATTTCGAAACCCTACGATTTTGGAAAGTTGAGACTTTTTCGAATTTGAACCTTCCTACGGTCGAAAATATCGAAACTTTTCGAAATCGAACATCAGTTCGGTTAAAAAATATTGAAACCTTTCGAATTCGAACCTGGGGTGGTTCGCGGCATCCCTAGATAAACCTCGGAAAGTAACCCCCACACCGCGGTTTTACCAAAATCTGGTGAAAAAACAAAAAATGTGCAACGATTACACGCCATGACGCATTTCGACAGTGGCAGCATGATTGTGATGTGACGTGACACAACATCACAACACCTACAAACAAATTTAGTTTTCCCGCCAAATTTAGCGGGAAATTGAATTGGTAGATAGGTCATGTGACGACAATTTTTGCGCTAAATGTAGCGGGGAAACTGAATTTGTCTGTTGGTGTTGTAATGTCAGGTCACGTGACATAAATTTTCCCACCAAATTTAGCGGAGAAACTGAATTGGTGTGTAGGTCACGTGATGTCAATTTTTACGCAACAGGGAGACTGATTTGGTGCATAGGTCACATGACGTCACTTTTTCCGCGAAATTTAGCGGGGAAACTTTTCCTTTATGCTCACGCTGTCAAAAAATCGGGGAATAAACCACTAACAGCTCCTGCTATGAAAAAAAGAAAAAGAAAACCCAAATTGGAGTTATTCTCGAATAAGGATATTCCAGGATTCGCAGGCCGAAGTCCTCATCTACCGTAATATCCCGTGAGATCGCCCACCTAGAATCAAGTGCAAATTGGGTGAACATAAAGAGTGGGCTAACTTTCGGCATGCAATCAAAGAAGTGTTGAAAAAAATGCCATATTTAGATTATGTGACTCGCCAAACTTGTCGTCGCAGCGAGAGGTGACGAACCAAAGATGTCCGTGCTTCTCGGTCAGCAACGTTCACTTATCTACCACCGTAGCTAACCAACAATATTTCCACCAAGGTCACCATGGGATTGGGCAATGCAATAACCAGAACTAAGATATCTTTTGATGTTTTTGAAAAAAATGCAGCAAATCTCACCAAAAGTTGGGCCAAGCTTTTTTTCGAGGGTGGGCCATCTCTAGGGGTATTACGGTACGGCTTTGTCTTCTGCCGACCGGAGACATAACCCGTACTGAACTATCTGCGAGGCAGTCACATTCTTGGGGTCCACACCACTTGTCTCGTCTGTTTCTCTTATCGGTACTGGGACTTTTTTCGAGTCTTCGGGCCCTGCAGATGTTTTCCGGAGTTTAGGAATTACAGTCCCCCCCCTTTTTTTTTAGCGTGAGACTCAAAATATGTGGATTCTTTTGTCCAGCACTGACAGTCGCCACCAAAACAAACAAACACTGAATCTCAGAAAAAAATAAACCCTGAAAAAACACTCCCAAATTTGAAGAAATATGAACCCCAAACTGCCAAGCTCTCCACAGCCTTCATTTAATTTCTCTCTCTCTCTGTCTTTCTCTTTCTCTCTTTAAACCCCGAAAACACAGAGCCCTGATTATCTTTAGCTTTTTGGCACGGGCTTGTTTGGCATTTCACGCCGCTCGCATTACAAATTGGCCCGCCTGGTCGTAAGCCTCAGATTTTTTTGTCAACCTTAATGGGATCCTGCAACAAAGTTCTAGTGCATGTTTTATTGTCTAAAGTTCAACCTCGTTCTGGCTGCACCATGGAGACACCAACTTCTTTGGTCAAAAACGCACCAAGATATTATTTAAAAGAAATAATCCGAATGTCGTTACGTCACTCTCAACGTAAAAGCATCGCCGCTCCACAGAAGTACTGCAACAAGCTGCGTGCGCGCGAGCCTTGTCGAACCGGGTTTCCCTTCTCTCCCATCCTATTCAACTCCTGCGGGGAGTGGCAACTAAAATGGCCAGGTTGTAACGCGTCGACGACGCCAAGTGGCGGAGCTCATGACCATGCCAGCCCCCAAGCAGCTTTGCCCGTGCTGGACCAGTTGACGTCACGTCCATCCGTGATGCGTCGTGCTCTCCGATAGCCCTCTTGGAGCGCTCCCTGGAACCTGTCCTTTGGAACGAAAAGTATAGCCATCCGTTCAAAATACAAACATGTGATTGTTGTTAGCATATAGAGTTGATCACGTTTAACTTATTTCTGAGCTTAGAGGTATATTTCAAGTTTCGGTTCTGTATTCCTTTAATACAGCTGGCTGGAGGGTAAGCAGCAAGTTACATGCTTGTGCTCCTTTTTCCTTTTAATAGGTTCTCAATACCATTGAAGCTCTCAAGTCCTGGGAAGAGTTTATTGTACAAGAAAAACTTGGAGATCCTTCTGTGCATTGGGACCCTTTGGGAAAGCCCGCCAAACATTGCATTTTACTTTTGATGTCCAAGTTTGACATCAGCCTGCCGGTGCATCTGAGGTATTGCAGTTTTTGTTGTATGTTTTTTGTCTTGCTTTTAAAAATGGATGAGGGTTCTAATGTGCAGAGAATAAATGTTTAATGTGTTATCATGTCAATTACCACATAGCATAATTTACAGAAAAGACCTCAGCACCAATATCAAAACTTTTTTACTTATTTTTAATTTTTACCTGTTATATTAATAGTGGTTAAGAAATTTAATATTTTCAAAAATTGTAATTGTTTCTCAAATTATCTGTTGAGCTGCCCTAGTAAGAATGCACGCTTCTAAAAGATAATCTGAAGTGTAATTATGGTTCCTGAGATCATAGAAAAAAAATGCAACTTAAAGTTACAATTCTGTATAGGTAAGTTATGAAGTGTAGCAAAGCCAACATCTTTCACTCGGAGCACGGGGCAGGTGATTGTTGCCATTCAATAAAAGGGGCCAATAAAGAACGACGCACCAGTAACGTTGGGGCTTGATTTCTGATCTGCGCTGGACTTCCAAGCACAATAATGTCATGCCTTATATCTGTGCTGTCCGCTGTCTTGGGTTTGAACATTATTGGTGCCTCATCATGGGTAGTGCCCCTTTTGTAGATGATGGTGATTAACCTCTACATTCTCTGTGGGAGACTACAGTAGATGTGCAGACCTCATCCATCTCTAGCTCGATTTTATTTTCCCAGTACTAGTATCATCTTAAAGAGACAAGTATCAATCCTTTTTTCTCCAAAAAAGATGGAAAGTATTGCGATGTTGTATTTTTAAGGATGTTCCTGACCAATTTTCATTTTTCAATTTATGAAAATATAGCCTGCCAGTTTTACGGCACCCGTATGAAATATTGCCCGGTAGATGGCTCGATTTCAGTCATGCACTGAAACTTTCCTTTTTTTCTTGGTCTTCAGAGCTTGTATCCCTCATTGGAATAAATGACCTGACATCCTGTCATAACCGATCATGATTCCATTTTATTACTGGACCAGTTCACAAAATTATAGAACTGCTAACAATGTCATGCATTCTGTTGCTTACTGTAGCTATTTATCTGAGTATAGGTCATTTTTTGATACCATTCTTTAATGTTAGAGGTGGACTCCATGTGCCTCAAGCTAACGAAGGTGCTCCTGTGTGTCATCCGCCTATTCGAGCACAGAGCGGTGAAGCTAGACACGAGAGCGCTGGTGCGAAGCAGTGAAGCTTGACGCGAGAGTGCCGGTGCAACGCGGTGAAGCTTGACACAAGAGTGTCAGTGTAAAGCAAAGCTTGATGCAAAAGCACCAGTGCAGAGTGGTGAAGCTTGATGCGAGAGCACTGGTGCGAAGCAGTGAAGCTTGACGTGAGAGCGCCGGTGCAATGCGGTGAAACTTGACGTGAGAGCGTCGGTGTAAAGTAAAGCTTGACGCGAGAGCACCAATGCAGAGTGGTGAAGCTGGATGCGAGAGCGCCGGTGTGAAGCTGTGAAGCTTGACGTGAGAGCGCCAGTGCAATGCGGTGAAACTTGACGTGAGAGCGTCGGTTTAAAGTAAAGCTTGACGCGAGAGCACCAATGCAGAGTGGTGAAGCTGGATGCGAGAGCGCCGGTGTGAAGCTGGGAAGCTTGACGTGAGAGCGCCGGTGCAATGCGGTGAAACTTGACATGAGAGCGTCGGTGTAAAGTAAAGCTTGACGCGAGAGCACCAATGCAGAGTGGTGAAGCTGGATGCGAGAGCGCCGGTGTGAAGCTGTGAAGCTTGACGTGAGAGCGCTGGTGCAATGCGGTGAAACTTGACGTGAGAGCGTCGGTGTAAAGTAAAGCTTGACGCGAGAGCACCAATGCAGAGTGGTGAAGCTGGATGCGAGAGCGCCGGTGTGAAGCTGTGAAGCTTGACGTGAGAGCGCCGGTGCAATGCGGTGAAACTTGACGTGAGAGCGTCGGTGTAAAGTAAAGCTTGACGCGATAGCACCAATGCAGAGTGGTGAAGCTGGATGCGAGAGCGCCGGTGTGAAGCTGTGAAGCTTGACGTGAGAGCGCCGGTACAACGTGGTGAAGCATGACACAAGAGCATTTGTGCAAAGGGGTGAAACTTGAAATGAGAGTGCTGATGCAAAGTGGTGAAGCCCAATGTGAAAGTGCTGGTGCAGATTGGTGGAGCTTGTTGGGAAAACACCGATGCAAAGCAGTGAAGCTTGATACGAGAGCTCCGTTACAAAGCGATGAAGCTTGATGTAAGAGTGTTAGTGTAAAGCAAAGCTTGACGCGAGAGCACTGGTGCGAAGCAGCGAAGTGTGACGCAAGAGGTCCAGTGCAAAGCAATGAAGCTTGATGTGAGAGTGTCGGTGTAAAGCAAAGCTTGATGCTAGAGCACTAATGCAGAGTGGTGAAGATTGATTCGAGAGTGCTGGTGCGAAGCAGTGAAGCTTGACGCGAGAGCGTTGGTGTAAAGCAAAACTTTACGCGAGAGCACCAATGCAGAGTGGTGAAGCTGGACGCGAGAGCGCCGGTGTGAAGCTGTAAAGCTTGACTTGAGAGCGCCGGTGCAACGTGGTGAAGCTTGACACAAGAGCACTTGTGGAAAGGGGTGAAACTTGAAATGAGAGCGCTGATGCGAAGTGGTGAAGCCCAATGCGAAAGTGCTGGTGAGGATTGGTGGAGCTTGACGGGAAAGCGCCGATGCAAAGCAGTGAAGCTTGATGCGAGGGCGCCGGTACAAGGCGGTAAAGCTTGATGCAAGAGTGTCAGTGTAAAGCAAAGCTTGACGTGAGAGCACTGGTGCGAAGCAACGAAGTGTGACGCAAGAGCTCCAGTGCAAAGCAATGAAGCTTGACGCGAGAGCGTTGGTGTAAAGCAAAGCTTGATGCTAGAGCACTAATGCAGAGTGGTGAAGATTGATTCAAGAGCACTGGTGCAAAGCAGTGAAGCTTGATGTAAAAGTGCCAATGCAAAGTGATGAAGCCTGACACGAGAGTGCTTGTGCAATGTGGTGAAACTTGACGGAGTGCCGGTGGGAAGCGGTGAAGCTCAGGGAAGAGCTGGTATGGTTTAGTGGAGCTTGACTTGAAAGCTCTGGTGCGAAGCAGTGAAGCTTTATCCATCAAAGTCAAATTTAGGGGTTTTGCATGCCAAACCAATGATAGGCATCTGGCACGTCCCAGCAGAGGACTGAGGATTCATTTCGACCTTTTGGGGATCTTTTAATGTGCAACCGAAAGCTCAGTTACATGGTGCCTTCTCTGCATTAAGCTTTCATCAAATTATGGGTACCTCGGCCAGGATTCGAACCCTCTACCATGGGATCTGTAGGCCGACGCTTTGCCTTTGAGCCACCAAGGTGGCCAAGCTTGATATGTGCGACGCAGCTCAAGTGCCATGTCATAGAAGCATGTGATTGACCTTTCTGGAAGTTTGAACAATGGCCTGGCAAGCGCGGTTGTTGAGTTAAGGCTAGTTTGCAGACTTGAGACTGCTTACGACCTTGTGCAGTCTCTTATGACTAGAGGATGCACTGATGCCATCAATTGGACGGCCGTGAAATGCTTGCGATATCCGTGTATTTTCTTTTTTTTTGTGCGCATTATTCTTTAATGGCTTAAAAAAATTTTTTGACAATGTCATAAACAACAATTCCTCATAGCTAGTGTGGACATTTGATCTTGCATATACCGAAAAACCTTTGCTCTAATGAAATGGAGTTCTAAAGCTAGCCCATGGAAAGTGCCAGCGTGTCAGTCTGTTCTCTCGTCGTAAGAGATAACAACAACTCGGTCGTAAGCAAACTCAAGTGTGTGAGCCGGCCTTTACATTTTAGCTAGTGTTACGAGGGATGCTGCGAAATTAATTTTACCGGTAATTTCCATACTTTCCACTTTACAAATTAGAGTTGACTTATATTATTAGTTCGTTTTAATTATTTTCCTCGAGTTTTTATTTCATTACTTTAAGAGCCAACTTATATTTGGGTGACTTGTATTTCTTAAATCTTTTAGTTATCACCTTCGGTTTGCTTTTGCTTTTATTCACCGAGTATGAATTGAACAGTGCAAATGAAGAGACGTGGACAAGTGGGAAAGACACAAACACTGCACTGTTTGTGTGTGTCTTTCATTTGTTCCCGTGTCTTTATCTGCACCTTTTTATTTACTCGCATCATGCACTAGCTCGCCTAACTACACAGCTTGAAAGATGCCTCATATGTGTTGCAATGTATAGGGTGTTCACTCGAAAAAATTCCCTCCCCTAGTGGTTTTTTTTAGCTCTAAATTAATCTATGCATCACCAAAAGCTCATACTAAGACTATGATACTAAGACTAAGATAGCGCTCATTCTCTGCCTTTGGGAGGAGAATGAGTGTTATCTTAGTTATAAGTAATTTTCTGAAAATTTCAATGGGAAAAGGATGGCCGAAAGACTTGTTGAATAACATTTGAAGCCAAATGGCACCAGTTACCGAGTACTGGCCCCTTTTTCCCATTAAAATTTTCAGAAAATCCCTTATAACTTTTGAATGAGATAATGGTTAGTAATAGAATGGAAAGGTTGGCTAGTTGGTGCACTCACAGCCCTGAGGTTTGATTGGCGAAGGCAAGTAGGTCGACCTTCACGTACACGAAATACGGCAGCTGTCGTAGTGAATTAAAAGTCTAATTCACCGGATTCAATTTGCGAAGGACAGAAGCCACCCCTGGAGCCCTTGTCGCAGAGCATAGTCCTCAGACCATGTTCAGGCCCAGGCGCGAGCTGGAAGTGACGACGATGCTCAGGCAGGTTTGCCAAGAAGCACACCGGTCCCTGAGGCAGGTCCACGAGACGCTTTTGGAGAGGACTGAGAGATGGCGCCTGCATCAGCTTCGGTCGCGGCAGAGGGACAACTACAAGAGGCTGCTGGAGAGGTCGGTGCCCGTGTCACGTGCTATCTGATGCAGTCTCCGGAAACTGCGCAATCGTGTTTCTCTGAATGCACAGTGTTTTAGATTATTAAATGCTTTCTAATGGATCCCCCTAATCCCACAAATTTTGACCATTCGTCCTTGCATTTCCCTGCCAAATTTAACGGGGAAATTGATATCGCATGATGTTTTGATATTACGTGACTTGATACTGTTGAGGCATCTTTTTATAAGTACATGTCTATTATAAGTACATGCCTCTGTAGTCTGTCCCCGGTTTGTGTAGATCTCGGTCTCAAGCAGACACTCTACTTTCTCTACTTCAGCAGCCGCTACAATACCTTTGCATCATATGACGTCAACTTGCCCACCAGATTTGGCGAAGAAATTAATAAACTATGCTTTTCACTCTCCAAACCACTGTTTAATGTTTTCTAAGAAAACATTTAAACAGTCGCTTCCTAAATACTGCATTCCATGCATTGTACAACTGGAGATGAAAGTCACTGGTAATACTTTTTGTTTTTTGATGCACTCAAAAGAATGAAATTAGACACATTTAAAATCAAGCTAGAAATATTAAGCCAGTTTTTTTTTTTTGTTTTTATGTAGTCAATTTTTATTTCACTGACACTATTAAAAGTTAATTAACAAATTTTAGTTAATTACTCACCAGACTGTGATGGTTGTTTGGCCCTCGAAAGTCCGCCGAGCTCAAGAAACAAATGGCAAATAGGGAATTCGCGTTGCAGTATCAGTTTTGTATAAAATCAGTTTTGCACAAATCAGTTTCAAATAAAAAAATAACACCCAGTCTATCAGAGTACTCTTCCGTCAGTTCATTTACAGATTAAGTATTGTTTTAGCTGTTCTTAGCATGCATATAGTACACTCTACGACTTTTGTTTCCAGACTCTTATCAGTGTCATTTTTTGCACATCCCTGGATTCCTACAGAACAGTGCCCGAATAATACATGTCTGCTAAGGTTCCTGCTTTCAGCCTAAAAATCTAAAAGGCCCTAGATACCATAAAGTATGTTCAGCTTTTGTTGTGTAGATGTACTCCTCATCTCACATTGCACCTCCTCAACCCCTATTGTACAGATCTTGGGGAACTGTGTGTAGTATGGGGGAGCTCTAATATAAAAAGATTGATGCTTTTTTTTAAGAACATTGCATTCATTAATTGTGACTAGGCATTTAATCATATGCACAGTTACCAACAGACTCTCACCTTTCCACAGCTTACCTGTTCTGAGGGAAGGAGCTACTCTTGGTTTATGGATTGTGTGTTGCTGTCTTAGAAGGATAAACGGCATGACAACCCTCGACGCTCTTCAGTACGAAAAACTCGTGAGGTGAGCCTCTACAATGAAAGGTGACAAGGAATAATAAATGGAGCCGGTGCATGCACTATGGCTCCCATTAGGTTCATGCTCAGACTATAACCCGTTTCACGATAACTTGGCGAACTGCGGAGGCTAGGGCCCCGCACCCAATAAAAGTGTCGGAGCGAGGCACGTGACCCAACGTCACGGGAGCATTTGTGTCACCACGCAAAATGCAAGGCGCGAGGCCCGGAGAAATCGGCTGTCGTCTGCTAGCCAAGAGTCGTCTGCTTTGAAACCAACTAACTTCGGGTGAACGTCCACCGCAGCAGCATATCCGTCCGCTAGAATAGCGAGCACTTTGGGAACAGTTCATGAGACAACCATATGCTCAATTTAGCCGCGAATCTGCAACAGGTGCTAATGCCAGGGCACAGTGCAATGTTTTGAGCGTAAACGGCCAATTACATGGCTGCGATCGCCCGCACTCGCCAATGGCCACGGTGCTACAAGGCGAAAAAAATCGAGTGGATACGGATGTGGCATCACTTTTTGAGTTTAAATATAATTGGAACTCATCAATTTGTGATTGTTTATTATTCTTCATATCTTCTCATTATAGATGGAATCGCGCCGTTAAAAGAAAAAGAAGCCTAGAACTACTTTTTGTTGCGGATGGCTCTGTTGCTGTGGCGGTAATGAGGCCCCGTGGCCTCGACCATGGAGCGTTATTGCGTGCCTTGCTCCGGCGCCCTTATTGGGTCGCGGGAGCCACAGCCTCTACAGTTTGCCAAGTATTGTAAAACGAAGTATAGCCATGGAAACTGTAGTTTGTGTGAAAAGGCAAAAAGGTTTTATTCAAAAATGAAATGTCACATTTTTTAGCGCCCTTAGAATTCACCCAAACATCACCAGTGAAGGGTCTTCAACAATGATTAAAAGCAGTTTTGTTGTTCTTTCTCGGCCCAATTTCAATGTAAGCAATTGAACAATGATGTGTAAAGTAGCCGTTGGTGTGAAGAGGTCACACAAAGAGTTGATGTGAACAGTGAACATGAGACGTTGACATGGAAAATTGATGTGAACAACCAGTGAGATGTCAAAACCTGTACAGATAGATGATGTATACAACAATTTTAAACAGTTCATGCAAACAGTTTCAAGCAATGTTCATGCAACAGTTGTGAACAATTGATGTCGAAAGCTTACATTATTATTCAAAGACACTTTATGATGCCGAGGACATGACAAGTATACGCAGGCCTGAATGAACTGCCTGTACAGCAGTTTAATTGGAGCTGTTCTCGATTAGCAGACACTACTAGAAATTGAAAATTGTACTGGCAACCTTAATAGTACAACATATGTTTCGGTTATGCAATCAAACAATGATAAGCATCATACTTTGTTCCACCTTAAGTCCGGGCACAGCCGACACTCCAAGCTGATGGAACCAATTAGCAGTGTCGAAAGCGCCACGTCATGGTGTTCATTATGGTTCTGCATCTGTTTGATCCAATCATTTACGCAAAGGGCCGAGTGACTCGCAGTTTTAATGTGTTTGTGGTTGTATGTGTTCATGCGTTCGACTGCAGTCAAACATAGGATGAAACAAAGTATAGGTTGAAGATGCCCAATTATGGGAATCACTTGACACGAGGGCAAAACAAGTTCAGGACGAGTTTCTTAGTCCTACGTCTTTTGTTTTCTTTCCACCTAGGTTGTTGAAGACGACGCTAAAGTTCTCAGAAAACTTTGGGACCTTGACGTCTTCATCGAAGAATCGATGGGACGAGTGTTGCCAGCTGTGCTGCGATCACGTCGACAACGCACTGCGAACACTGAGCGACGGCCAGATGTCATTGTTCTCTGGTCTTGTCACAAAAACGACACTGAGCATTGAAACAGAACTGGGAAATTTCACTGGGGATAATGCCGATCTACTGACAATATAATGTTTGCTGCATCCATTGAGGTGTTCTGTCGTATATCTTGACCAAGAATGACGGTATGTTCCTCTTAACAGTTATTGGGGAGGAGGAGTGACCGTGACGCCCCAAGCGGTTAACTTTACAACTACACGAATGGGGACAACAAATACAATGACTCAGCGCTCGGTTGACATAACCGAACACGGTTGAACACAAACTCGAGCGTTTGGCTCGAGTTTGTGTTCTCCGGTGAGGGGGAGGAGGGGCTCTTTTGTTACCACTCCGGCCTGCATGAACAATGCAGCATGCACGGTGCCCAGCTCAGCACAAAAGCCGAAGTGGGTCAAGCTCGCATTCTGTTGACTGCTTTCGGGATAGATCTGGCTCTTAACATCACTTCGTGGATTGTTAGGATTTTTTATATTACACTGTGCCCCGCGCTCTATTGTAGAAGATGACATGGACATGCCCATAAGGCCTGTCGGCATGTGCACAGGCCTTGTGTTGAGTAAACACCGGGGGTGGGGACAATAAAGGGGTTGGAGCGCCCCCTATGGTTCGATCTCCTGCCCAACCCTGATCGACAGGTGTCCCTTGCTAACACTAAAGGTGTGTCCACACCAGCGATGTCAAGCAGTCACGGATGCAACTAGATCGCATCGCAAAAAAATCAGATGGTCCCACTGGTGTGCGCTATGAGCGAGTCGCTTCTCGAAAACTCTTGCTCTGAATGCCGTTGATAGGCTCAGCCGCATTGCGCTAGATCGCATTGCAAAAAGTCAGGTCAGCTAGTGACTGCTCAATTCGTGTCGCTTTTTTTCACGATGGTTGCCTTTGCGTTGAAAGTTATCGCACAACTAGATTGCATCACGTGTGAATGCACCTTTATCCCTAGCTGGTTAACAGTTATCCCTTGTTAAACTTATTCCTGATTAACAGTTATCTCTCAATAAACAGCCACTTGGTATCATTTCGAAGTCCCCATACTTGGTAGATGCCGGCAACCTCTGCGATTAGCCAACGATTGTCACGTAGGAGTTGTTAAGGAGTCTCATCATCATTTACTCCTTTACAGAAGTAGTTAGAAGGCAAAAACAATTTGTGCCTCAATAATACTTTTTTTTTTTAAATGCTAGCGTGTCTCTCAAATGAGAACTTGCTCCATGTTTGAGCACGAGGAGCTTATTTTGGGCCATACATGGATAAATTACTTTCAAAATGTAATTTAATTACAATTACAATTTCTTTGCTTCAAAAGTAGTTTAACTACAATTACTATTATGTGAAAGCAATTATTACAATTACAAATTACTTTCAAAAAGTAATGCAATTACTTTACAATTACTCATTTCTGAGAGCAACCCCGACTTGGGCCATATAACTTGTGTTCATTCCTTGCCGCAATATTTGAGGAGGCTTAAGCATCGCTGCATAATTGCCAGGGATTGTACTTTTCTTTTTTATGAATTTTGTTAAATTCATGATAGAACTTGACAGTTTGGGGCAAAGAAGCACTACGTTCTTATATTGTTTATAAATAATAATAAATAACTTCCTATGCTGGAAGACGCCAGACCGCTAAAGAAAAAATTGGATTGACAGACTTGTTAGCCAGGTAAATATAAAATTAAAATCTACACGCGCCTAATGCGACCGCATTCACATACAAACATCATGGTTTGTAAGTTATTTGCACTGGGTTGAAGTTATAACGGCTCAGAAATATATAAGAACCGAATGGGGGCTTCCGAATCAGTGGTGACAATATTCACAGGTGCGAGGTCAGTCTCCAAAGTACTTATGCAGGTAATACTCGAAGTAAAACCAACAGGGAATAAACTTGAAAATATTACGAAGAATCAAATATGTGATAGTACTGGAAAAAGGACGTATAAAACTGATAAAAAATATTCATAGACATATAAAATGTTAAAGCTGGGCTGAAAGCTGAAGCTCGATTTTTTTTCTCAATATTCTGGCATGTATTGTATGTATTGTATTTCTATTCACACCGCAGACGGCGCCATATGGGGCCGCTGAGGTAGACTCCAAAGAGGATTGTCTCCCAGCCCGCAGTGTAAGCAACCAAACAACAAACAACACAATACTATTTTTGTTTTGCGTGTGTGTGCGTGCGTGTTCTATGTGTGTGAGTCTGTCACCGAGCGCTAGGCCGCTTGTGCGAGCGCTGAGGCTTTCAGAGAAGATCCATCGGCTCCAGAAAGTCTTATAAAAGTAATTGTAATTGTGCCTAAAATTTTGCAATTACTGATACTAGAAAGTAATTAAATTACAATGACAATTCCTTTTAGCCCAAAGTAATTAATTACAATTACAAATTACCAAAGGTAATTAAATTACAGTGATTCAATTACTGTAATTGAATTACTACCCAAGTATGTGAATCTGGGCACATAGTTGGCCGGAATAAGAAATTGCTTCATGGTCCCTTTATGTGAAAAAAAAAAAAGAAAAAAAGACAAAGTTACTTTTTTACAATGGCTGCCTTAGAAAGGAGGGGGGGGGGGGTAATAACACTACCCTTTTCATCCAAATTTTTATGCTGAACGATTTAAAAATGTAGTAACGATTAAATTTTTTCTGTGCAACAAAAACATAACCGAAGTCCATTCTTGACCTGATACGTACTGAAGGTATAACCTGTACATTTAATGTTCTTGGCCTCCATCCGATGTCATCTGAGCAGTGTGGCCAAAAAGAACAAATCTTTCAAAAACATGCAAAGAAAAAGTACTACTACAACCGCTTGCCACATTAAACACCGACGTATTGAGCATGGTAAGGGCTCTCTATCGTTTCATGGAATTACGTTTTGTGGAGAACTTTTCATTGACACACGTTTTGTCGACACAAACGTTTCATCAATACTCGTTACGCGAATTGCACGCTGTAAAGACATTTCGTCACGCATGTGTCAATGGGGTGTGCGTTAACCCAACCACTGCCTGTGTTGACGTCACTTCGTGGTAGCAGTCTGACACAGCTTATTACAGGAAAAAGCTAATCTGAGCTTCCAAGGAAACGATTTGTCGATGAAACAATCTGTCGATGAAACATCATGTGTCGATGAAACGTCGCTCGATGAACTGATGGCCACCGGACGAAAAGAGCTGAATGCAGCGATGCATCTGGGTGTGTATGTAGAGTAGCTCGACGGTCTTTGTCTTAAAGCGATTCGTAATAGTCCAGTCTCGCCTAAAACGCCGTTCACACACTTGCAACCGAGTAAAACCGAGAGAGTGCGACTGTCAATTGTGTGCGCCGCCATTTTGGTTCCTAGTGCAGAGTGCGGGCACAAGTGGCAACCGTTACGAAACGAATATGCGCGACTTTCTCAGCTTCACGTACGGTGTCGGGGAAGCTGGGCTGATATTGTTTTGCTCTGTCGCGGACTGTTTTTGATGGATCTGGAGAACGGAAAACCGTTTTCTGCGATTGCCGATAAGGCTGATGATGATTGTCAACCTCGATTTTAAGCACCAAGATCTAGGTTTGGTGGCACAAGCTATTGCTCGTTTTAAAGGGTACAGTATTTAGCATCCATCCATCCATCCATGGCTGAAGTGTCGTTACTCTGAAGCGTAGCTTATATAGTGACTCTAGCCTCACCAAGCGAAATAACCAGCCCCTCAGGACCTGACTTCGCGAAGTTCTTAGCTCGAGATGCTGGCGTGTACCCCATTGCATCGGCAGAGCTGATTGGCCAGTAGCTGTGTGTTCTCTGGTGCGTGCACAAGTCGAGCATTCCGAGGAATAATTAGACTGCATCACATATACCTAATCCAAAGGAGCGTACCATAATACCTCGAAAGGCCTCCCGCCCCTGAATGATAACCTGCCCCCTATTTTTGGCTATTTACTCATTTTTTTTTTGCACACCGAAAAATAGCCTATCTTTAGTAATGATAATGTTTGGATCAATGACGACCTTGGCGTAAGTGCGGCTAGTTAGTTATGGCGGGATATAAGTGCACACTGCTGACTGGGAAGCACAGTCGCCTTTGCTTCATAGCCCCTCGCCGCGATAACGTTTGTCAGAGAAACAGGGTCTAAAAATAGCATTTCTTACGCCTTTCTTGATTGCTCACCTAAAGTCAGCCCACTCCTTATTTTCATCCGATTTGCTCTCGATTTTAAATGGGCTGTCTCTCGGGATAATCCGGCAAACGTTTCATCGGGCTGACATCTCTTTATTTAGTTTTATTTCGAGGACGAAGAATACGAAGCAGTTTTGCTATCCTTCTCGTTCCTCGCGCAGAACTCAAAAATACAATTGAGTTGTAAGTCAGCGCTGTGTGTCTCTTGGGTGTGTGTATTGTTGTCGTGTGCTGTTATGATACCTGCTCAGCCAAGCCGCAATCCTTACAGGCTGAGATCTAAGAACAAAGTGGCAAAATAGATGTAGACGAAATAGAAACACAAAAAAGAAGTACTCTGAAACTATTGAACGCTCTGGAGCAAAACCGTACTAGGCCCAAGCAGGATTGCCAAGCTTGTGCCAAGCTAGGCGTTTCTCTGGCGTACCATACCTGTGATATAAGTGGCCAGTGCAAAGCATGGTCAGAAAGCGGGCATATACTAGGATTAACGAGTGTCATGTTAACTGAAGTTGACTGTATACATGCGTGTTGCTCTGAAACACAGTATGGTATCTATCTTGCGAGGCAATCCAATTACCGTTAGTCCTTTTGAAGTGCCGTGCACTTCTGGGCATACTTGGAAATATATCCTTTTCAAAGCTTCGCGCCCACCAGTAGTCCCTGCATCAAATCTGTCGATTCTCGGAACCGCCATATCTTGGGCATGCGCTTGTGTTGTGTCAGCCTTCGGCGCGTGCTCAGATCCAAATGTATTCGACACAAGTGCTACGACAGCGTCACAGCGCTCTTGGCTTGAACTCTGATCCAATCACATGCTTGGCTCAGGAAGCAATGCCCAATGGATGGATGGACTGATGCTAGCGGCTGTACTCTTTATAACGGGCGGTAGCTTGCGCCACCTAGCCTAGAAATTAAA